GAAGCCAAAAATTCCACCAAAGCTGAGATTCGAACCTCGACTGTCTAGTCGTCAAGCCGAACATGTAATTTACTTTTGCCGAAAAAAAAACTCGACTGCAAAGACTTATCATTTCACGAGTAAGTGTACATTGTCATATTATAGTTATATGCTTGAGATCGTTAAAAAGTCAACCTCAACGGAACTTCAACTGATGAAATGCGCAGCACATTAATTTTTTCAATTTAAAACTTTAATTTACATATATGAGCAGATCCGCGTGAAATCCGAAACCCAAAAAAATTGATGTGGGATTTTCTGTTCGATTTTTTTCTGACGGCACCTATTGTGGCGTCTCGTATCTGGTCAGCATTAGAGAGTTAACCATTACTAAACTATGAGATTATATTGTTGAATGTAATATTTATTGAGATTTTATGAATTAATATTTATATAAGTGGCTAAATCTGCTTATCCCTGCCCAGAAGAATTATTTCAATAAAAATACGATTTTTATTAAAATTTCTGTGACAAAGATAAGATATATATTGAACAAGATATCAGCCCTAACGAGGGCACCTGTCGGGTCGTATGCATCGGCCGTTGGGGGTTAGTCGAATGAATCCGGGATTGCAGAAGCATCCACGTCTGCAGGGCTGGAAGATATGACTTCATGAAACCAATTGAAAATATATGTAGAAATGAAAAGATAAATGGAAAACAAATCGTTTGGGTGAACAGTTCAGTGTTCGAATGGATAAGAGTCGTCAAATTCCAATGATCATAGAACGAGTTTAAGTAATAACTTGAATATGGAAGCCTTAATGACGGTACAATAACAACTATATTTAAAATAAACCTTCAGTCAACATTATCCATCTTCAGATTTATCATAACTCTATCAAACATCGAGTCTACTGAAAAACAAATATATTACATAAAAATGGTAATAACAGCTTTATCGGTGATCATGGCTATCCTAAATTTCCAAGCCATCACAACTCTATCCAATATCACCTCTACTAATCAATGTGTAAAATAGTCGGGCCAAATCACAACATGTCTATCCGCCATCAACTCTATCGTTATGACCTCTGCTTAACAACTCTATCGGAAATCAACCCTACCGGCCATCAAATGTACCAATTATATCTATTTGGAAATTCCATTCGTACAGCTGATGATCGGTAGGGTCATACCGAAAAAGTTGATAGAGGATAGAGACGTTATGATTTAGCCCCGATATTCTTTATATTAATTAATAGAGGTGATGTTGGGTAGAGTTGTGATGGCTTGGGAATTTAGGGTACCCATGACCATCGATAGAGTTGTTATAGCCATTTTTAAGTAATACTAGCGCCACCCCGCTTGCGGCCGGGGTGTGGATGTCCATTCCTTCTGTTTTTTTTCTTTTTTTCCTCTCCAAAGTTTCTGTAAAATTGACTATTCATAATTATTCTCATTGTACTATGTATATGATTGCTGAAAATAATGTGTTTCCATTCGTCACCTGTTCAATTTTCATATTCCAATAAGTAATTCGGAAATTCCTGTGCTCACTGGATAAGGTCTAGATATCATTATAAATGAAATCTTATTCGGCAAAACCCTCTTTCCCATTCCACTTTAATCTTCTACAAACGCATTCAGTAATTTTTTTCCTTGAGTTTTTCATAAAATCTGGAAATTTTCTCTGGTCGTTTTTTTAGAGAACTCGAATTCTCTGAAATTAGTTTTAAAAATTCGAGAAATTTCTCATATTTAAAAAATGAAGTAACCCGTTTTGATTTCAATGAACCGAAGTGGAGTGTTGGGGTTCACGGGACACTTCACATCATTTTTATTGTGCAATCCTTTTTTGTGTTAGATTTCTCTGTGAATTTAAATAGATTTTTCAATATTTTCTTCTGTAATAGCCAAATTAGTGTGTACATAAATAGAGAATATCAATTGATAAATATTATTGTAGATTATTTTCTTTTTCTGATTTGAGGCTAAAAATACGCTTTAAAACTCGCGCTCATTTACGCAAAAAAATCGCTGAAGATAATGCTTACTCACAGTACCCATTTTTTCAATGCCATCTGTCGGCGTTCTCCCTGAACCTTGTACTCATTCGAGATATTTCGAGTTGGACTTTTTCCAATTCGATTTTTTCCCTCATGTCTTTTCTGAATAGGAATTTGTTTTTCGGCGAAATCGATGTTCGATAAAGTTCATACGATAGACCTCCAGATGGGTAGAGTGGTTCACCGAAGACTTAGTTTGAATAGAGTTATTATTGTGCCAACAAAACTCTTGAAGGTATTATGAATAATTCTTACTTGGCCAGGACAATTTGGCCTACGGTTCGAACAAGTCGGCTCACAGGCAGGCCCACATCTACGGTAATCTGAATTTGAAACGTGAGCACAGACTATGTGCTGTGAGTCCACATCTGGGGGAATAATTGGAGTGAATAATAGCTTTTATATGATTATGATCATCATTATTACAAGAGCTGTAATCTATCTATTTCTACTAAACCATAAAAAAAAAAATTCTGAGTCAGTCTGATAAGATTTTTCGAATATGAGAACAATATTGTTGAATACTTACACGTAGTGTATGCGAACACAAGGAAAATTGTGATTATGAACAGAGTTCGCATCTTCCGAGTTGTTCCGATTACGAAATCAGATTGATGCGAAAACTCTCTCGTTTTACTCTTTTATATCTTTCTGCGACGAAGAGCAGACTCTACATTATAAAAATCATTATTCTATTGTTTTCTCCGACGGGTTCATATTATTGATGCCTTGTTGATGTTACAATCCGTGACGCAAATAGTCATAACTTAGGCACATCGATAACAGACATATTTAATTATTTTATTTCTACAGTTGGACTGAGAGAGCAATAAGGACAAATAAGTAATCGGATTCTGTGTAGGAAATTTGCGATCTTTTCAGATCTTTCTATAACATGTCTTAAAAAATATGATACTGTGGATATTTTTCTATAATAGATTGATGACACAAAAAGTTACATCAATTTTTTAATAGACGATAGTCTATCGATTTCCACGAATTTAGAGTGAAGGAAATTTCTACCCGATGAAATTTCTAAAATATTAATATTCAGAAATTTATTTTAGAAATATATAAATATTTCTAAAATATTCAGATTTATTTTAAGAAGATAAAGAAATTCGAAAAATTATAGACCCATCTTATTTACACTGATAGAAGGATTTAGTTAATATTAACGAAGCTTCTTAACCCTCTGACTCACAATCTTATTCCCACTACCAATGGAGCCGAACGTTCGACGTGGAAGGGGATGAATAGCACGCGCGAACAGTGCCGTAGCACTAAGTGCACATTTGAATATGAGTCCTAAATATAAAAATTCTTAAGGCGAGCCCGGAGGGTTTAGAAAAAAAGCAGCCATTTTTCTCTTTTATTTTCTTTAAATGATGAAAAAGGCGTGTGCAAAAATTCAGACTGCTGGGGAACATGGTTAATTTATTATGAATTTTTTAAAAAGTGGCCATTTAACCCGTAATCTTATGGAAATCACAAAAAAAACTGCAAAACCCAAGGAAAAAATGAAGCGAAAGTCATGAAACCTTAGACACATTTAAAACATGTCATCAATAATTTTTTGAGTGAAAAAGATTGTCGCCTAGGAGCATTGTTTATTAATAATAGCCAAAAAAAATACTGAAAAATGAAATTTCTGCGCACGCAGCACAAATGAGTAGCAACGTCTCATGTACCGATCAGGTGGGAGGTAGCGCGGTCAATTTAAACGTCTCTTGAGAGAGAGCGATGAAGCGTTGTGATTGGAGCTCCCTCGAGCCAGTGGTACCAGTTCCTGGTGGAAAAAAAACTACTGACGATGTAGCCACTTTTTCGCATGGATTAATATTTTTTCATTTATTAAAAAAAACCAATCTGAAAACCATTCAATGCGTGGAACAGATACAAATAAATTTGATTAGCTCCAAAAATAATTTTTAACCGGAGATACACCCTAAAATATACTATAAATATACTATAAATAACCCCTGAAATATACTATATGCTGGAAAGGGCACTGAGCTGCCCGAAGCGAGCCGAGAGAGAGGGTCGATTTTGGGGGCCACCTCTCTCTGTCGTACCGTCTGCTTCAAAAGTATTCTCTTACCTTGGGCAACGTTTAGAATTTAGCATTGGCATTCAGTTCTTTTTGGTTGCATATGTCATTTTTGTTCAAATTCAAACTCACAACATGTGACAGTTAAAAATTTTATTCTTTCCCAATATATACTGATACATGGGGTATTTACAATTCTATTACGAGCAACTTGACATGGAAAAAATACATAAGAATATACAATATTCAATAGATTCTGTATTCAATTAATCTGACGGAAAATCGAAATCCTCTGAGTCAGTATCGTCCTCAGTATTCGGAATTTCAAATTTCGATATGTCCAATATAATTCCTAAAACAGAAGTTGATATTTGAATGATATAAACTTTCATTTCAAGAGGAATTGATTCCTCAAATTCAAAAACATGCCTCGAATTTCTGATCTCTATGTGATCATTCCAATACTGTGATGAAAAAGTAGAACTTCCCAATATTTATTTATCCTTTTAGCATCAAAACAATCTTTAACACATCAATTCACTGCGCATAACACAACCTAAGCTTCTCAACATGCTTGTACCGTTTATCGTTTGGCACGTTACGCGCATGCGCACCGTCGAAAGAGTGAGAGAGGTGGCCCCCAAAATCTACTCCTCTCTGCCTCGTTTTCCGTTTACGAGTCTGACATTGCAGTGTCCTTTCCAGTATATAGTATATTTCAGTGGAGTCAGGGGGTTAAGTATTAAAACAATTCGTTAGTAGTTAATGAATCACCTCTTCTATCAGTGTAAATTTAAAATTATTTCAAATTATTTTTATATTAAAATTATTTTCCGGATATTATTAGAAATGATCAAAATAACTAACAGACAAGTTTGAAGAATTCCCAGGATTATTTTATTGAAGACAATATATTTCCTTGTTTTAATCGAGGAAGCGTGACTTTTAACGAGGACACGTTCTTACGCACGGACCACCAGGACTTTGTTGAATCCAACCAGGATTGCAGAAGCACCCGGCTCTGCAGGGCTGAAAAGAATATTTTCATTGAATCAAATGATATGATAAGAATATATGTCCGCAGATATTATTGTGAGGAGGATGACATAATTCCGCAGATATTTCTGAAGCTATCAAGTCTAAAGAAAGTGTGAAGAGGCTTCTATTGTATGTAATCAAAATTTTAAAAAACCCTCTTGATGAATCCTTCAAAATCTTGCAAATTCTACGATATCAGCATTATTTCTGCTGAATCAAATAAATTCCAAATCATTTTTTGTTTAATGATAAAAATTATTGAAAAATTCCCTGATGGTTCACATCCAGAGTTGGAACATCGTGTTGTCTCCACAAATCCAGTCTAGGTTGGGAAGTTACCCAGAGGTTAGAAACCGAATGTCGCACAAACTCTGGACCCAGAGTGGGACCCAGAGTTGGAAATTTTATTATTTGTGACGAAATTTCAGGCCATTTCGTCACCTGTATAACTCCAGGGTTTATAGATAAAGAGAGAGAGAGAGAGAGAGAGAGAGAGAGAGAGAGAGAGAGAAACTCAAATTCGGTAAAATAGCTACATACTCTTGGCAATAAAATCCGATATCAGAAATTCGAGCTATCTGCTACCTTAAATAAAACTCGGAGTTATCTGCTACCTTGATTGAACCTGAAAGATACCTTAAACGTCAGGAAGTTCCGGAAAATTACGAAAATGAGCTATGTGTCGCGTCTATCGATTCCCTAGATTTTTTTAAAAATAATATTAACAATTAAATTAAAAGATAGAATCATAAAATCTTAAATATTGCAGCTTCAGTTAGAGTTTTGTTGAGTTAGAGTTTGGTTATTTTGAGATAATTCTATGTAAATTCGGTTTAGGGCCAAAACATCACAGCGGATAACTTGGCCAAGATAATGTGCTACCCAGTGGTTTTTGTAACCCTTCTGGTTTTTTGATCGAGTGAGTACATAGGTCGGATCGAAATATTTGCGCTCCCTCAAATGTTCCCTGGAGGCTACCTGAATTTACCTAGACGGTAATCATGCTACCTGAATTAGTGATTATGGTAAAAATTAGTGATTTTATGCCTCTCGCTACGGCGATCGATGCCACGTGCTATCTGCTCTCTGGCTACCTGTTTGCTTGCTCTCTAGATTCGCTTATTTTCGCTAAATTGTTACTTGCTACCTATTTTTCCGCATTCTCGTCTTCTCCTAAGAGTTTTAAGAGAAAAATCATACTGCGTGAAATATCTTTTATGCGACTTCTACGCGTTCAATGCTATCTTTAGTGTTCGTTAATTGTGGAATTCCGGTTGGGCATGGGGACGCCTTGATTGTTACCTTTGATTTTTATGGTTGGAATCCACAATAAATGAAATCAATTTCTGTTCTCTAATGTTGATTAATTGGCTCTCCATTCGATTCCGAGTCGTTTGACACCAAAATTGGTCGAGTTCAATGGAGAAAACCTCCATTTCCGGTTTGAAACCCACCCTTCCGGTGGAATAGCCACGTGGCAAGTATCCAAGTTCCCTCGCTCTCTTCTTGATCATTTCCAGTGGAAATAACCCACCAATCGCGTCTTAGGAAGGGGGGAAGGGGGTACCATGACATTATTCAATTGATTCTAGGTCAATTTTTCCTATAGGGAATTTGCCAAAACCCAGTGTTTCTATAGCATTATTAAAATTAACTTTGGCATCTACCGTATATTAAAAATTGGCCCAGGCACACTTGAATAATATCCTGAGACCCCCTCCTTCCCCCTTTCTTTTGATTTAACCACATTGACAACTTTTTAGACAGTAAAATACACAACTCTGGGATCAAGACTGGGTCCCGAGTTGAACCCAGGGTTTCTATAACATTGTTGAAATGATCTTTGGCTACCCTTATAGGAAAAATTGAACTAGAATCACTTGAATAATGTTTTAAAATGCCCTCCCTACCTCCCAACTCTTTAACAATACCCTGGTGGAAAAAACTACTTAAATCCTATTGGGGAAAAAAGGGTAATTGGAAATAATGACGTTATTGCCGTTGACCCATTATTTCCGATTCAGGTTGGTAGCGCAATGCTGACACGTATGGAAAAATCCAATAGGAAAACCTAGCGAATTAGCTAGAAAATTCTATTGGGATTCTGGAGAAAGAAATTCAAACTCTATTGACTTTTCCGTATGAAATCTGCAATAGAATCAGCGCAAAAAACTAATAGAATTTTCCAATAGAATTCCAATAGAAATCCCATAGAAATCCGATAGATTTTCTCCAGAATCCCAATAGAATTTTCTAGAGAATTCGCTAGGTTTTCCTATTGGATTTTTCCATACGTGTCAGCATTGCGCTACTAACCTGAATCGGAAATAATGGGTCAACGGCAATAACGTCATTATTTCCAATTACCCTTTTTTCCTCCAATAGGATTTAAGGAGTTTTTTCCACCAGGGTATTTATAACTCGTTTAATAATAAAATTTACAACTCTAGGTCTCACTCTGGGTCCAGAGTTTATGCGACATTCCGTTTTTAACCTCACTCTGGGTAACTTTCCAACCCAGACTGGGTTTGTGGAGACAACACAGTCTGGGGAACTCTGGTTCAAGTCTGGATGTGAACCATCAGGGTTATAAATTAAAAATGCTCAGATAGCCTTGAATGACGTCACCACTCCGGTCCGTCAACGCCATATGTCGTAGAATGCTCATTTCGAGATATTAAATCAGTGCGGTACCGACGTCGGTGGCCGAAGCGGCTAGGTGCGAGCCTAGTGTGCGAAAGGTTGTGAGTTCGATTCCCCGTGGAACCGAGTTTTTCAACCGGAGGCTCCGGCGAGCGGGAGGTCGCTAATATAGTGACCGCCTGTACCGGCATGGGTTTTCTGTGGTTTCCCATGCTACTCCTATGTTCTATAGGAGTGCGAATGCGGTGCAGTGTAGAATCCACAGCCGCATGCATAGGGTTGGATAGGGCCGATTAGCCAATCAGAGGGCAGAAAGGCCCGATTTATAAAAAAAAAATCAGTGCGGCGTGTAAAGAAATTATTTACGTCTTTTTGGTATCAATGAGATCATTTTTAAAAATCGTGTCTCAGAAGAATGGCCAAAAAATGCTTGATCACTCTCAACGATTAACCTCCCGTGTGAAGTGAAGGGAGTTGTGTTTATCCCCTCCCTAGCCGATTTTTCCATAATTTTTATCGAATACATTAAATTATAAAATTGAAAAGTTTCTCACGTATTGAGCTCCTTGTACTTCAAACGATCTATTCGAATAATTTCTACGTGAAAAAAATATGTGAAATATCCCCATCTTCGATTCATCTTGTTTCAGTATTTGAAAAATTCTCATATCTGATAATAATGAATAATTGAGTGATAATTCTTACTTGTCCTGGACATTGTGGCCTGAGATTTGTACACATTACGGGACAGGCTGGACCACACGGCCGAAAGCTAGCATTTTCCGGACAGGGAGGAAGTCCACGTTGAGGTACCGCATCTGTTGAAATTATTAAAACACTCAGACTCAAGTGAAATTGAAAACTTCGAGTGAAAAACATTGTTGAAATATTTAAAAAATAAAATGCGATAGAGAAGCATGGGGCAATGGGGAACGCCTGCCTATTTTGGCTTTTGGTGGTGATATATTAACCCTCTAATGACGATGAGCTTCTCCGATGAGGAGAAGGGACCACGCGCTCTTTTGGAGAAACATCGAAGTGGGGACAATCTTAACCGCATTAGAAGGGTGACAAGGAAGTGAACAAGCTTTCCAATTTGCGTCGCGTTCTACTTTGCCTCATGCCTCCTTGGATAAAACGTACAAGTGTATGCGAACACGAGGAATATAGCGAGCATGAAGAGATTACGCATCTTCAAGACTTTTCAAATGAACTGGGTTGAATTGTTGCAAAAGTCTCACACTCCATCCTTATATACAATTATCGATAGAAAAAAAAGAAGTCATGGAAAAAATATCTCATTGACGTATGTTTGGTATGCAAATGAATGCTATTAATATTCTTAACTGAAATGTATTCCATTCATTTTTTATTTACACAGGTGAACAGTGAGAACGATAAATTGAAATAATTATATTCTACAGTGATAATCCATTTGATTTGGTTCTATCATGTCCAATCATCTCTTCAATCATCGCCATTGATGTCTGGAGAGAATTTCATGAATCAGTCTTATGGAATGTGGAAATACAAGCATAAAGAACGGAATTTGTTTTGTGGGGCAGGAAAAACTCATGAAATTCATTCTGTTTGATATTCATGTAAGATATTAGAATAGCATAGAATTTATTTTCATTTGTGCTACAATTACTGTTTTACACCTACAGAAACCTCACCTCCTTAATACATAACAATAACAATAAATGAATACAAATTTTTTTGCTCTAGGTATTAACCTAAATGCAGTCAACAAATAGAAGAATACATAAGACAAACAGATTTTGCCAGAAACCCGGTGGCTTGGCGCAGTAGGTAAGTTCATTGCCTCACATGCGAAAGGTTCCGAGTTCAAATCCCGGCCGGGTAGAATGGTGCGATCTTTAGATTAGAACCATTTAAAGTCTTAATCATCCTGGCCGTATACCCTAACCGGCTCGAAGCGATGTAAAATAACGATAAAAAAAAAGATTTTGCCAGAGAACAGTCAGCGGACAGATGCCTTCGTTACCCCCCTCTCCACGATTCGCGAGTAAGAAAGCACTTAATAAATAAATAAATAAATAATATAGATCAAGAAACATTTTTAAGACATCGTGATGAAATTGAAGAAAATCTTCGGGATTTGGCAACAATGATGGTACAGTAGACTCTCGTTATAGTCGCACTCACGGGGCTGTAGGGGCAGCCGATTCTGAGAATGGGACTGTATTTCTCTTCCCCCACCAGGCGCTCACGGTAAGCCTAAATCCCGGGAATCGGGAGCGATAAGAAAATAAATTTTACTCCAATTATTTTTCTCTTCAATTTGCATTGAACATTTTTATTAAATATAAAAATTATTTTCATTAAACACTTTTATTAAATTAACAAAATGAATTGCGTTGAACACTTTTAGTAAATTAATGAAATGAATAGAAATATTAATAACATCGCATTGTTCAATACACTCCAAAATTTATTCACTTCATTCAAATAAAAAGCAGGATTATGCACCACTGCAAAGACCCTCTCTTCGTGACAGTCAAGAGTGAACTGAATTTCTCTCTCGCAAATTCATTTTTCCTAAATTTTATTTCCCGAATTTCTTAGAAATGCAAAACAAAGCCCATTCCGAGAAAACAGGGGCATTTAAATCCACACCTCGGAGGTGGTACGGAGTGGGGGAAGCGCTCGAGCTCGAAAAAATCGATATGAGGGGAAATGCGACTATAACGAATGCGACTATAACGAGAGTCTACTGTATACCAGAGTAAAAATTTCGTTGATTTATCATCGGTTACCGATGTGGTGCAACCGACAAGGTCACCGGTTCCACATAGGTTTCGACCTACCAGGAACTTATGAAAACGTCACGCAGTTACCTCACAAGTTACAAGTAGGTTGCAACCCATCAAAAACTCACGTGATTATTTATTCACCTCATTATTATTAACAATTTGTCAATGATTAATAACTCATTAATTGCCATGGGGAAGCATGCCCAATGATAAGAATTGATTTATACACGCAGAAAAAGAAAAAAAAATCACATTATCGGTGAGAGGTCACCCATCCAATTCCGAACCCTACTCGATGTTACTTAACTTTGGTGATCGTCTGTTGTGCTGAAGTCCAAGTCCGCTATCTTGCAATTCTTGGGAATATAATATTTAGATATTCTAGATAAGGCGAAGATTCGGATTCTCTGGTGATTGACATATGATTTTGCCCAAACCTTAATTATGACCCTTGCTAATTAATGAACCTTATTTCTGACCCTCGCGACTCTTATTTCTGACGTTTATTTTTGACTCCCATTTCTGACCCTCATGACCCCTATTTTTTGCTCTTTTTTGTGAGCTTCATTCCTGGCCCTCGTGACCCTTATTTCTTACGTTTATTTTTTACCCCCCTTTTTACCTATGTGACCCTTATTTCTGACGTTTATTTTTGACCCTCATTTCTGACCCTCGCGACACTTAGTTATTACCGTTTTTTGTGAACCTTATTCCTGACCCCTGTGTCCCTTATTTCTAACGGTGATTTTTGACTCCCATTTCGGATCCTCGTGACCCTTAGTTTTGACCCTTTCTGATCCTCATGACCCTAATTTCTGACCCTTGATTTTGACCCTTATTTAGGTTACTGATGGGTTCTCTGATGGGATCAGTTATGTCCGACTGGCCCTGGACAATTAAATGTCCTTAACACCTTATAAGGGACAAATAAGTTACAAAGGGGTTGTGCTACATAAGTTAGTGATCGGTGGTAAACTCATCTCTCACCCACAATGATCATCCCTACTAGTATTGTTGCGTTTGGAACCTACAGGTTACACGTCAGGCACAACCTATGAGTCAGTAATCTGCCACAAACTCATAGGTTCCCAATGCACATCGGTGGCTCCCGACGAAATTTCTACTCGGGATGCTGCCAACGTGTCTGTTTCCAATGTCCCATCCTGCCACTGACCCGACATTTTCTCAGCATCGGCCATACCACTGACGACTCTCCCGCGCCTTCGATTTCCGCAGCCTTCTCCACTCTTCCGCGCTCGCTGGTTCCAAGCCTCACTCATTGACTAAACGATGTCGCCAGTGATGCTTTTATGGCTGCCAAAATTTTCAAAACTGCATTTGTTCTAATGGTTATGCTATCTACCCCAGCACTCACTTCCTCTGACTGTCACATTCCTCCATCCGCGTTTTCTTCGATCGTTGGATTAATTAACTTTTATATCTTACATATATAACGCCAAAGTACAATAAAATTTTTCCCTTCCGACTTGGCCCGAAACCACCTCAACCCGCCATCTTTCTCCCAAGCTCTCATATAAGATGTTATTTAAAACAAAAAACGCTTTGTTTGGGCATAATTTACGTTTAGGTTTTTCTGTGTGCACCCACCGAGTGTCCTCCCGCCCGCCAAAATTTCTACTAGGAATTCTCCAATCAAGAACATTTTCGTTTCTGAATTGATAAAAGAGGTATCATAACACTTTCCAGAAAACAAATTTTACCAGTGCCAGCTAAAATTTAACAGAACACCGGCAATTTGTTGACAAATGGTCGACATACTATTTGCTGGGCTGAACTAATGCTTATAGATGTCATACCTGATGTACCCTCGAAATTCCTTAGGATTATGACCCTGTTTATTTACCTTCCATATTTCTCACTCCCAATTGTCATAATGAGGAAAAAGAAGCGAAAATTGGGATCGAATACGAGATATTTATAATACAAACTCGTCGAAATTAATTTAAAAAATGTTCGTTATAAGATGGAGTAGTATAAAAAGGTCATGTGCGAGCCCGTTCGCATCAATCTGACTTTGTCTTTTGGAAATTTTCCAAGATGCGCGCTCTTTTCATCCTCGCTGTCCTCCTTGTGTTAGCCTACACCACCTGTGAATATTTCATTTATCAAATTCCTAATGCGTGTAAAAACTGACTTAGTGGATGATCGTGTGAATGTTAATATTTCGATAATTTTCACAGCCACGCAACCTGGAAGGCCCCCACGTTGCGCTGTCGGATCATCGTGGAGGACATGTGGCCGTGCGTGCCCACGGACTTGTGCTAATCGTAGACCAATTTGTCCCGGAGCGGTAAGAAATATTATTGAATTATGAATTTATGATTTTATTCCTTGCCATCCATGTTCAAATAATTCCAATTCAAATACATCTCAAATTCTCGGAAAAAAAAATCATTTCCAACAGTGGAACAATTATTTCCCATGTTAAATGAAATTGCCCGTTGCGCGACGTTGCCGGAAACTCGCTAAACGTGCTCGGGCAGTGTAGAGTAAATTCGACAACGCTGGAGCCTAAATAACACGGTGGCAAATCCTCACGCAGGGTCACCAAAGTGGCAAGTTCGCGTCAGGTGACCATAGTAGGATTAATGTAGTTCCAGATATGTTCGTGAAATTATTTTGACGCATTATTTTTAGGGGTGCGCACGAGACTTAAACGAGACTTCACTTTGGAAGGATCATCTCGCTCTAAAACAAAACAGAAATTTGTGGGACTGTCTCAGTCTCGAAAGGCATAGTATTGTCTCCCCTTTTTATGACTCCAGGATAATTTATTTCGTCTTTTTCTCTCCTTTTTCCTATAACGATAGTCTGTCTTTTGAGACTAAGAAGGTCCCAAAAATTTCCATATTTTTTTAGAGCGAAACGGTGTCTTCGAAATGAAGTCTCGTCTGGGTTTCATGAGCCCTAATTATGTGGTCGAATGATTAAGTTCGCTCGATTCAATCGCAATATTTATTTCAGCGCGGCCGAGCCGGATGTTTCTGCAATCGTGGCTGGATTCGACGAAGCCGCAACGGTCCATGTATAAGAGAGAACACGTGTCCGCGTACTAGACCGTGATCTGTGTCAGGTTTTTGTTCGAAAAATTACGCATTGGAGTAAATGAGTCCTTGCATCAATATATAAGAGAATTCAATTGATTTCGAGTTTTTCATATCTCATTTTACTAATAGGGGAAGAGAGAATGTGACACTGGCACATTGTTATTTTTTAAATTTTTAATTCGGTTGTAATTCCGTCACGGATCTAGTTTCTGCCCCTGTAAAGACATGAGATCAATGAGAAATTCATTATTCTTTATTCAAAATTCCAAATGAAGCATAAGCAAATACAAAGTTTGATTATCGTTCTATTTTTTCTGAATTTCTTTTATTTGCTAGATGAGAGAATTAATTAAAATGATGCTTCGAAAAATAATCGTTTAAAGCTCGAGATTTTGCTGTGCTCGGGGGCATCAGTTGCAGTTTCTGCATCCACAATCGATCAACAGAAGATAACAGGTTAGATTATTTACCCTTTAATGATTAAATCCACAACAATAATGTGAAACGATGATATTCATTAACATGAAACTCGGGACTAGATTCAAACAGAGAAAGAACACATGAAATAAGGTAAATAAATAGAGCAATTCTCATATTTGATATTAAATCAAAATATAAAATATTTTATCCCCTTCGAGGGACTATTCACCGACGTAATCGTGGTGTCACCCGCTGATCTAATCCCAGTGAAATCCATGTAATCATTGTAATCACATGATTACCATATTTGTAATCAAGTTTTAGCAATCAAGTCGTAATCATTTGTAATCACTGTAATCTTTCGTAGTTGCTCCTAGTGAGACCGTAAATTTTGTTTTTGAATTTTCGTGCGCGTCGTTTCTACTAACGCTAAGTCTCAGAGATCCCTTGATCAATTTTTCTTAGAATCCCAGATGTTTGCGGTTCAGAATCTTGCATAGCCAATACGTTTTGCACAGAGCATTTGCCCGTACAAAATTGATTCAACAGAGTTAAAATTTCTTCCTATTCTGGAGAACCAACCACTGAATTATCTCTGAATTATCTGCTGGTAGGTTTCATTCTCCATCAATGGTAGATATTCAGTAAATTTATTTTCCTGATAGCACTTATAAATGCTCACATTTTTAGATGGAGTGATGGAGACTGCATTTCTCTGTTCTAATTCCCGCCCCTCCTTCCTCATTTCTTTGCAGGTTCTAATAATTAATTATTCCATCAATTCATATTTAATAAGGGGCCATTTTCAGTGATTTCAATGATTACAGATGTTTGGTAATCACAAAATGTAATCGACGAAATCATTTGTAATCATGTAATCGCATTCTGTGTTCTTGGTAATAACAGTTATCACATAGGCAATAGTAATCAGTGTAATCAGTCCCGTAATCCTGGGTAATCGATTACATTTTGTAATCGCGGTGTCACCCAATTTGCCTGTGAATAGCCCCTCGATCCCCGTATTTTTTATGGAAATTAGCGAGAAAGGAATAGTATTTCGTCTTCAAATCAGATGATGTACTTTTATGTTTGCGAAGTAACAGGGTGCAACCCTATAATAGTTCGGTTATATGAATGACAGGAACTCCGGTGGCAAAAACTGCTTCATCACCAGATACAGTGGGACGATCAGTTACTGTCCCCCGTATTCTTCGTCAAATAATTCTCTTTTAGCTCAGTTTATGGATTTCATTATAAAGTTAATTTTCTATAAGTAAAAATATATTTCTTTCATCCATTCAGTACTCACATATTAGAAATATCGGGAAAATACAAAGTGTCAGATCTTAATGGTCGGACGAAAATTAAATCACTCGAAACATTGCATGTAGTGGAGCTGATGCTTTTTGCGGGATAATGTTCCATACGTCTGGATGTAAATGCATGATTTTTTATCGCTTGAGGAAACAAAACTGTTGATTACGCAAAAATTAATCTTCGCGAGATTAAAAAAACGAATGACATGGGTATTTCGGTAAAGGGATGAAGTGTAGCAGAGAGTGGGTCTCGGGCGGAAACTGGTGCTACAACGGTATTGGTATTGGTTGGAGCAATATTTTTCTGTCTACAGTTGTTCATTCAATTTATTATATAATCTCTTTCAATAAATTTCTCAGATACTGCTCCTTATCATATGAATTTATTGTATATGAATATGCATTTATCATATTTATATCAATTCTTCGTCATAAAGTCGTATAAAAGAGGAAAGTCTGAGACTCGCCGTATCAGTCTGACTTCGTCATTTGAAAATCTTCAAAGATGCGTGCTATTTTCATTTTTGCTATTTTCCTTGTGCTTGCATGCACCGCGCGTAAGTATTCCATGATATATTCATTCTTTGCGTTTGAATGAAAGCATTGAAATCTTTGAAATCCAAATTTCCGGTTTTTTAGATTGGGATAAATAATTTCGGACTCAGAAATCAGAATATTTCTACACCATGTTCGTATGCATAGGTGTGATTTATTTTCTTGACTTTTCTTGAGTTTCTATGGGGTAGAGTTTAATAAGCCTAATCGTTTGGTCCTAATTTAATATACCCTGATTAAATCCAGGCTATACATTAATTCAACCTTGATTGAGCCTTGAATAAACCCAGTCTGAAAATAAATTCGAGTCTTGCGAGGGTCTGAAAGCAGAATTATTTGACAGAACGAAGTAATACGTAAAATTTTAATGGCATTTCAATTGATGATATTACTATGACATGATGGAATAGAAGAAGAAAATAGTAAAATAAGAATGAAAAAAGGGAGAACCCATTCGAAAGAAAATTGTTAATTTATCAAGTAAAAATAACTGCAACATGTCATAAGAAAGAAAAATTGCTCAGTTGGCATCATTATTATTTTTCATCATAATTACAATTTATGAACAATCAAATTCCAAGAATTTAAACTGCCATTGAATGCTAGTCTCTATAATCAGGCAAATTATAATACTTCAATGATTTTGACAGATGCTCAACGTCGTTGCCAACCAAACGCAACTTGGGGATGCGGTGATCCCTGTCCGGCAACCTGTCAGAACCGTAATCCCAGCTGCAACAGATTAGTGAGAATTATTAATATGTTATTAGCAATCATCAGTCATAAACGAATTTTGTACTATAGTTGGGTCATGAGTCAAAAATTAATGTTAAATTTTATGATATTTCACAGAGAAAAAAAGTTTCTAGTTTCCAGAACCAAATTAATGAATTTTAGAAACTTGCGGTTCACTGATTTTTACAGGGAATTCTTTTAGAATAAGTAAAAATTTCACTCAAATCCAGAGATTTTGACTGAGAACTAGAAATTTTTTTTTCTGCTTCACAAAACAGTTGTGAGCAGGGTTGGGCGAGTAAAATATCACTGGTAATGTATCTAGTATTCGACAGATAAAAAAACTAGTAATTTACCGTAGAGTAGGTTTTAGACTTTTCTGACCGCGGGAGGAGTCATGTCGAACGTCAAAGGATCGAATGATCATCAATCGAGCGAAATGATCAGAATATTCTTTCGTTTAAGCTCGACACGGTCAATCGTCACAAGGATCACACCTCTCAAGGGCCATGCCTCGTGAGGGTCAAACATCGCAAGGGTCATACCTTGCGAGAGTCGAAAGTTTCCAGACTCAGATTTTGCGAGGATCATACCTCGCGAGAGTCAAACGTTGTCGGAGTCATATTTTGCGTGGATCATACCTCGCGAGGTTTAAACGTCACCACTAGACTCATATCTTGCGAGGGTCAAAAGGTCACAAGGGTCAAACGACAGAGACAGGCAGGATAATTTCGAGGATCAACGGAGAGAGGCAATCAGAATAAGGGTCAACTGGGAGAGCTTTCTGATTAGTTCGTGCGGTTTATAATCGTGCAACCCTTGTGGATGTCCTGCTTGCTTCTCGTGGTTGACCCTTATAAACGTCGAAACCTCGTGCGTGTCCTGCTTGGCTCTCCCGCTTGACCCCTGAGGTCATTTGATCCTTGAGATCATCTTGCCTGCCTCTGTTGTTTGAAATATAACTCTTGCCACATTTGACACTCGCAGGGTATGCTTCTCATGAGTACTGATAGCTTCGTTAGGGGTGTTTATTCACTCATTTAGTTTTTTTACCATTTAGAGGAAAATTACCAATATTCTACTTCTTACCGTAGAAAACCCTGATTTTGAGTGAACGACCTACCCGAGTGAAAATTGCTTCAGGCCCACTTGAAGCGCGATCAGAACTCGATCAGGTTTTTGTAAGGTTTGACTGATCAGATGATGCCTGATGAGAACCTGACCAAGTTCTGATCCAGCAGATCGGATCCGAAAAACTACAGGCGGATTCAGATCAAGTTCTGATCAGGTAGACATGATCAGATGATGCCTGATGAGAACCTGACCAAGTTTTGATCTAGTAGATCGGATCCGAAAAACTGCAGGATGTTTCAGATCAAGTTCTGATCAGGTAGGCACGATCTCACCCTGAGGTCGGCTGCCTGACCCCAATTTGAGCAAATTCGGATTTTATGTCTGTGATCGGCATTTGAACGGGGTCAATTGAAGAGAAAATGATCAGATTCTGATCCGGTCAGCCAGCCCTTCTCAAATGTACAGAAGGGAGGGATGATGATGATGTCGTAAATACGTATTAGAGGTGTATCAAACTTACACGTAAATGATCTTGAGAAAAAAAATCACCAAATGTCCATTTATTTAGTAGTGTTATTGTTATTATCATTATTATTATTCATTAATGAAATAAATAAAAATTTAATTGAACATGTTTTATCTTTAAGAATACACACGCGCATCCGCGAGATCAGGAATAATCGTAAATTCAACGAATACCCCGATACAAATCATATAGGCAATGTACAGTTTACTCAATAGTAATAGCGCGATAGCGTAGTGGTTAGGGCATAGAATTAGTAATCATACGGTCCCCGGTTCGATCCCCAGCATCGATAAAACACTAATAAGCTTTTTTCAGAGGTAATAATAGTGGAGATTCATTAAGAGAGGCGGTCTACGGTGAAAGAATTGAATTATCTTTTGTTTTGGATTAATTATCATTGATAATTGTTATTGATGCTGATAGGTCATCCGGTTTTCATACAGTTGACTTGATCAAGTTCGGATCCATTTGTCCTGATCAAATCCGGATTGGTCAGAGGCGTAACATGTCTGATCAAGACCGGATCCGTCAATTTGATCAATACCTGATCAGTGGTCAGGTCTAAGACCTGACCGGAATTTCCACTGGGGTAACCCTGGTTGTGAGAGATATTTCTGGCAAATATTTGCAAACAAAATTTCAATTCCGTATTTTTAAACATGTCTTCTGGTATATATGACTTCTCTGCAAGATTATGCCATCTTAGAACTATTTTCACCGAAAATATAATATTTATTTCAGCACTGCGCGAGTAGGTGTTACTGTAATCGCGGTTTCATAGAACGATGGTCGGGTGGTCCCTGCGTAAGATCCTGCTGAAGATGGTGACCTTCCTCAATATTCTGGATATTTAAACGCTAATCGCTCAGGAATACGAGTGTACTAGCTCATGAAAATTATAATAAAAGCTATATTTACTGCAACAAATAATTCTCCTACGAATGCTCGCCAATTCCCTTCAGCCTTCCACCTTGTGATGTATGTGTGAGTCGCTAAGCCAGAAGCATTCTGTTTTATCGACCTCTTTGCCTTTACCTGTACAATGGCTGACATGGTATACGTACCTAATAAATATACAACTAGTATCCCCGTATATCAGTGCCATCATAATTGATTAAACCCATTTACCCGATCCTGTTATCCACGAATACTTCACACCTTTTGCTCTTAGATTTGTGCAAGCCATGAATCTCCCCTTTCCGGATACTCACCTAGTACCATCATCTCCAGTGTATAATGCTATTTCCTCACATGCGAAAGGTTCCGAGTCCAAACCCCGGCTGGGTAGAATGGTGCGATCTAATCATTTAAAGTCTTGATCATCATCGCAGTATTCCCTAACCGGGTCGAAGCGATGTAAAATAATGCTTGTAAAAAGATTCCTTGATATTGGTATTGAAACGCGTGGGTATTAATAAAAAAGCGTTTATTAAAATAAAATGAGACAATAGAACATTAAATGTAGGAATACAATAAAACGAGAGGAATGAATAACAAAAATAAGAGTGAGTTACTAACTTCAGAGAAGATGCTCCGATGAAACAGAAAAGAATACATGCCAAATGGATTGTATTGTAAAGCAATTATAAGTAGATTGATGACTGCAATTGCTGATAAGGCCCACGATGTTGAATGTGTTTACACCAAGGATGGGCAATGTCCGTGTAACTCGGAGTAACTTCATAACCTTGCATTAGAAACTCCATAAAGTTTACAGCCCTTCCAATTACAGTCGACACTCCGTTACTCTCCACTTTCGGAGCTATAGATTCCATGAACGGAAAGCTGGAGGTTGCCATTTTTCTACGCGTAACTGGCGTGTGTGACAACTGAGACACCGCGACTATTCTAGTAAGAACCAGCGAGAACTATCTCAAAACACACCACCCCTCTGGGCTGTCTCCCGTGGGTGATGTTACACATGCAGTGGGGGGGGGGG